CCCTTATTCTTTTTCTGCTTATTCTTCAACTCAATTTTTTGTCGTCAAGTATTTTTCTTCAGCAGCAATGATGGCTGAGAGCAGATACGCCCTATTGATCGTTGATAGCGCTACAGGATTATTTAGGTAGGAATTAAAGGTTAAATGTTAATGCACTGCTGATGGTTTTTAAACATCTTTTCTTGTTTTTGTGACCTTCTACCTATTAATTCTTTAGATCGGACTACAGTGGTAGAGGGGAACTGGCTGCTCGACAAATGGCGCTCTCGAAGTAAGCGTTTTATTTGTAGAGTAGTAAAGTTGGCATACAGGAAGACGTGCTTCACTCGTAATGTGTCTGTAAGACATGCCGCTTTCGCGACAGCGACCAATTCTCGCTTCGGATTGGAAGCTGTTGCCCACCTACGGCAACCCTCGTGTCTGTATATGTAACAGACTTGTTCGGGATGATAAAATCACTGGCTTGTGCAGCGATTCCCCTATGCACCTCATCATGTGGGTCAAATTATATATGTCCAGCGTTGCGCCACTTCGATTCTGAACGGAAGTAGAGTGCGTGGCGTACCGTAACAAGATTGATCTGTAGGTAGGTAGAGGGTAGGTTTCTGCTCACCTCCATGCTCCCGAGCTATGTTGTACATATTCCATTAATCTCAATCCATGTGAAATCGAGGTAATGCGAAATTTCTGAAAATCTGCTATTGGTAGACTAACCCTATATGCCAGAAATATGTAGTAAGACATTTTGGAGAGTGTAGATTTTGTTCTCATTTTGATGACCGTGGTTTCCGTTTGAAACTAGCAAAATTTTCAGAATGATGCGGCTACTGATCAAACTTGCGGATGAATTTGGAGTAGCTGTTGTGATTACGAATCAGGTAAGGCTTGCACTTTACCTCGACATTTCCACTGTCTCAACTTCGCGAAACAACATGTGCTTAATGCAAGTGTCTAAGTGTCTGTCTGTGTACATTTAGCTGTGATATTGTTCCTTTGCAATGTTCACACTGTTCCTAGCACGCATCAGTTCCATTTTCTCACTAACTTTGTAATCGCATTCGCATCTTTATGCGCAGCTGAAATAAAACCGCTAATTCTGTAGGGATTTCAAGGCGAGGTTGCTGCACATATTAAAAACCATTTCTGCTTTTGGTTGACGTCCTATATCTTGCTTAACGCATTAGACGTTCTGTCAAATGTGTACGGGTCCTTGCCGTCATAGGGTCGCATTTTGTAAATTAGCCGCATTTCTTCAATAGGGGTTATGTTCGTCTCCTTTAGAAAAATAGCCCCTTCTAAATACATTATTAGCATGGGATAAGGCGGTTTAGTTCTTCCTCTCCCGTGCGCTTGTCCCGTGAGCAGAGGTGTCTATCTAGGGTATCAAGGGGGAACTCAGACGTGATGTGATGTTCGGATGCTAAAGCCTTACCGCTGTGGGTGATTTTGACAGCTAACCTAATCTGGCGATGTGCAGTACCAGTATAAGTTTAGGATATGTGGATCATACTATGGAGCTCCCTGAAGTGTCCATGTTTCGCGAGCCCCCTTAGCCGCCTGTTGTCAACTACCTCCTTCATGGATCGATAAGGCGCCATTCTAGATTTTCGCGAACACTTTCCGTTGCGTTTGCTCATGTCATAATGAGTTTTCTTTTAATTTTTGGCTGCTCCCTTTATAACCATTCGTGAAAGTCATCGGTATTTCTTTGAATTCATCTCATTTTAATTATTTTTCTCCGCTGTAGGTGGTAGCACAAGTGGATGGAGCCTCCATGTTCCAAATGGATGCGAAAAAACCAATTGGTGGGAACATCATTGCTCATATGAGCACAACTCGGTAGGTCGTACTTAGCTTAGCGCTTTCACTGTTTTGCTTCTCTTTTGTTCGTTTTATGTACAATGAGTATTGACAGTTTCTTTGCCAACATTTCGTCTTTCTCTTTTCAACACTTCGTTTCTTGTCGTTAGATGAGAAACTGCACCCAAAATGGGTGTTTGTGTACTAGTTTGCCATTGGCAAGGAGGATTTCATCGGCGTCAGACTTTGCTACTTGGGCGACTGGCACCAATTCGCTACAGCGAGTTCCGCGATTGGCGCAGTTTTTGCGATTGTCGAAATTGCTGGAATCGCGGAAATAAGCAGAGATCGCTGAAATTGTCTGAAAGCAGTGCTCCACAACATGAGCTGCCTCTTCAAAGAACTTAATCCTGACCACCCTATAGTACTGTGCCTCCTAAGCTCTAGCGGGCGGTAAGTAGGTATGCTTTTTTTTAGTATATTGTATTGGCAATAGATGATTTATCAGCAGAAGTTAAATCGGCTGCGTCGCTCTCGCCTCTAGACTCAAAGTCTAGTTTTTTGTTTGAATAGTTGACGCGTCGCTAATGCCAGAAACTATCCTGACAAGACGCGCCTTGCAAAACACCTATTCCTTTGACCTATTTCTGAACTCGATTAATGTTTGCGTTCCTCATTGTAGCATGGTTACGAAAGCATGATTTTATAATTTTTAATGATAATACCTGTTCGTTAGTTCTACTCTCACCTCTACGAGTTCAGGTTGGGATTGCGGAAAGGTCGTGGTGAAACCCGTATATGCAAGGTCCATCAAAGTCCCAGTTTACCCGAAGCTGAAGCCACGTTTGCTATAACCGCCGGAGGCATAGACGATGCTCCTGAATAAAGCTAACTTATTATGTGATAGAGATATTTATGATGCTGCCATCAATTCTCGTCTCATTTGTGCTGTGTGAAGATGTTTTTTTTGTTCTGAATTTTTCATGCTCACGAGTGGTTTAGTAAGCACTTTCATCACTATATCGTTATGGGTTTCTATAGTATTTCATCGTGTGTCTCGCAAAAAGGCCAAATATTCGAAGATTCATTTTCATCTAAGAGTTCCAACGTGCAGATTAGATGTCATTAATCATTATAATGCATGTTTTTTCCTTATTTGTTCTCTGTTTAATGCATTGATCATTCTGTAAATGTTTCCTTTGTTATAACTCGTCGAATCGTATAACTGAGATGAAGTGTTATATAAACTGAGTAACTCTACGATGGTTAGATAGGATAATTGCGCTGAAAACGTCAATTTTTATTTTCGATTCAAACGTTTTCCTTCAACTTGTGTATTTTTGCTCGTTCGAGTTTTTGCTTTTTTTCTTTTATTTAGTTTACTGGATCAGTTAATTTGTGCTGTTCTGATGTGGTCGATCTATTTTTTTTTACTAGAACCTCAGAAGTTTATAGAGGATCGCAAATTTTCTCCGTTGTATCACCCTTAGACTTTATAGACACCAGATCTGTGACTAGTATTCGAGGCGTTAGATATCAGAACGACTGTTTTAACGATTACTTAAACCACACTTCTTAATTTACCTCCATTAATAATTCAATTTGATTCAACTAAGGTTACCGCACTATTTTGCGTGACTTTTAGGAGGTCTTATTCTACGTTCAAACAGATTCCATTAATGTTAGGGATATGGTTATTCATTGACCAGGCAGCTCCTTTTCTTGCTAGATGGCTGTCAATATTAGCTCTGAGGAGCGGAACACAGCCATATCTTCTCACAAATCCAAAGCCTTGCACTTTTATGATCAAGCTGACACTGCACGCCACCTCAAAGAGATTTGGCCATAAACTTTCACGTGACAGCGCTTTTCCTCATAAGTTTCTTTTGCTTTGAACTTCATTCTTCAATTTGTCCCTTCCAGCTGATCGTTAGTGATCCGACAGTCGGTTCCAACAGATAAAACTGCCGCCCATCGCGCTCCCGACTCGTTTTGGAGATCCCGTGACCAGACGATACCCACATGCTTCTCGGTCCGCTTCCGTCACAGCTTTCAGGCGACGACCTGCCAGCAACAAAAGGCATCTGCTGTTGTGGCAACGACTGCGGGGATTTCGTAATACTTCGTGTTTTCGAGAGTTTCTGGCTCGTTCTGCTCACATTTGAAGAGAAGCTCGCGTTATTGACGTATCGTGTCGTTTATCTTTTATTTAGATTTGTCAATTATTTGATTGTCCATTGCAGTAGTCGCAGCTGTTCCATTGCATCATCGGGACGACCCACTGACCAGTTCTCCGCCCGTTCAGCGTCTTTGGGTGTGGTTTAAACGCCCAATTGGCGCCAGACAAGAGATTAGGTCCGAGCTCATTCGTTTCATTATTGCCACCCGTTTTTTCATGCATCTTTGCTGCAAACTAAACTTTCCAATTACATTTGATACGCTAAAACCCGAAAGACGGGTGCAATTAAAAAGAATTGATGACCCTCTAAGTTCCGTGCTAGATGGGCTCGTTGAATTACGTTTTATGGGGCGAATCTCTACAAATGAAACCGGGTCCATCTATGTAAAGGGGAATTGTGATGCAACGTCAAGTGCTGCCCTCACCCCCCCCCCTAGACTGCTTCACTCCCCTGGCTCACGGGGTCCCGTACTTCGAGAAACCTGTGCGCCAGGGGGAGTGTAGGCAGTCTAGGGGGTGGGGGGGTGAGGCAGCCACTTGATGCCCCCTTACTGGATGAGACCCGAAAACCGAACTATTCTTCTTTTCGGTCCGATCCTATGGCTTCCAGTTTGTCTGGTGAGATGTGGAAGCTGTTTTCCTCATCGACTGGGTCGCCAAGTCATTGCATTGGCCTACTGCATTCAAATGTTATTCGACTCCGTTTAAAAGCGGAGTGCATGGCGCAACTCAAAAATTGATCGATCAACGCCGAATGTGCCACGCTGCAACCTTTTTTCATTTCATATGAAATCTGCGAAGTGTGTGGCATTAAGTAAAGTTCATCTTCTGTTTTAGTATCTAAAATGAAGTTCTCAGCGAATTTTGAAGGAAAAAAAAGCCACAAAAAATGGTAGTGGTACATTTCGCACACATTTGTTGCTACGCGTGGCACCTGTGTTGACCATACTTGAAACTGATCGCTCCATTTGCCCTAAGTTTTCATGGCGTATTAACAATTGCTTTTGAATTTTTCGCCGTTTTTTTTTTGAGTGCTGGTTTTTGAGGTCAGCGAAAAGCTCAACATAAATGAGCGAAATAGGTTTTTCACACTAAGTTATGTTATAAAATTTTGGCACTATTCAACTATTACAACCCCAAAATCTCAAAATTTTATTTTTCGTCGAAACTTTGCTCTATAGGGGTAATTCGGTGCCCTGATTACGAAAATGACATTCATTTTTGGCGGTGGCGCCATCTGGCGCCAGTTGGCGTCACCTTGTCACGACACATGTTTTCACCAAATTCGGTGTAAAGTTCTGTATAGGGGTTATTTGATGTCCTGATTACGAATATGACATTCGTTTTTGACATGACCGCTGTTTACCGCATACTTCCCGCTTTTCTGGGCTCTCTCACCTATACATAGC